TGGAATGAAAACTGACCTTTTCCAGTCCTGTGGCCACTGCTGAGTTTTCCAAATTTGCTGGCATATTGAGTGCAGCACTTTCACAGCATCATCTTTTAGGATTTGAAATAGCTCAACTGGAATTCCATCGCCTCCACTAGCTTTGTTCATAGTGATGCTTTCTAAGGCGCATTTGACTTCACATTCCAGGATGTCTGGCTCTAGGTGAGTGGTCACACCATTGTAATTATCTGGGTAGGCCACTCCCTCTAACACACACTAAATCAAGTCACAGTACTGGCTGGAAAACACACATAAGCTGGAATGTTGAAGAGGAATTAATAGTGAGGGACTATTTATAGGAGTTCAGGCAGGATTCAGAGCACCCACAGGGATGAGAAAGTACCTAGGAACTTACAGTAGTAGGAAGGTTTACTATTCTTAATCTTTTGGCTTAAAGAACAAAGGAAGATCTGGAGGCTGTTGAGAACTAGAGCCGTCATGAGAGACCTGCCCAATAAAAGCTCTGGTCAGAGAGGTAGAGATAGAGTGAGGGGAAATAGTCAACCATACCATAAAAGCAGGGGAAAAAACTGGCAAAAGTTGTCAGAATTGAATTTTTCAGAACTCTGGAAATCAAAAAATCTTACAGCAATCTGGAGTGCACTTATTCAAGAAAAGTGGCTGGATCTCAGAAAGAACAGAGATCTTTGTGATATTTTAACTTAAAGTCCCATCCTCTAGTCTTAACCTTGAAAACTGAGGATCTGCAATCACAGTTAAAACTAGCAAGCTGGCAGCAGTTGGAAAAGTGTGGAAGGAAGTAGGAGCACCTTCAAAGGGGGGTTCAGTAAGAAACCCTGCTTGCAAGCCTGTCTTCTGTTTCTTCAGTCAGAGCTCACCAGTACAGAAAACCTCTTCCCGGAGGGTATTTGTCAAAAAATTGTCAAAACAATTACAAGCAGTTGCTTAACTTCACAGATGTCTGAGGCAGTGGATAACTATTGGGCCAAATAGTAGACTAAGCAGCCGAAGATGGAGCAGCTCTATAAAGTCAGCAAAAACAAGACTGGCAGCTGACTGTGGCTCAGACCGTGAACTCCTTACTGCAAAATTCAGACTTAAATTGAAGAAAGTGGGGAAAACCACTAGACCATCCAAGTGTGACCTAAATCAAATCCCTTATAATTACACAGGGGAAGTGACAAATAGATTCAAGGGATTAGATCTGATACACAGAGTACCTGAAGAACTGTAGACAGAGGTTCACATTGTACAGGAGGCGGTGATCAAAACTCCCCAAGAAAAGGAAATGCAAAAAGGCAAAATGGTTGTCTGAGGAGGCCTTACAAACAGCTGACAAATGAAGTGAAGTGAAAGGCAAAGGAGAAAAGGAAGAATTTATCCATCTGAATGCAGAGTTCCAAAGAATAGCAAGGAGAGATAAGAAAGCCTTCCTCTCTGATCAGTGCAAAGAAATGGAGGAAAGCAATAGAATGGGAAAGACTAGAGATCTCTTCAAGAAGATTAGAGATACCAAGGAAACGTTTCATGCAAAGATGGGTACAATAAAGAACAGAAACAGTACGGACCTAACAGAAGCAGAAAATATTAAGAAGAGGTGGCAAGAATATACAGAAGAACTATTCAAAAAAGATCTTAATGACCTATATACCCACCATGGTGTGATTCCTCACCTAGAGCTAGTCTTCCTGGAATGTGAAGTCAAGTGGGCCTTAGGAAGCATCACTATGAACAAAGCTAGTGGAGGTGATAGAATTTCCAGCTGAGCAATTTCAAGTCCTAAAAGATTGAAGTCAAGTGGGCCTTAGGAAGCATCACTATGAACAAAGCTAGTGGAGGTGATAGAATTTCCAGCTGAGCAATTTCAGGTCCTAAAAGATGATGCTGTTAAAGCACTGCCCTCAAATCTGTACGCAGGTCAAGAAGCAACAGTTAGAACCAGACATGGAACAACAGACTGGTTCCAAAGAGGAGAGTGAAAAAGCTGGCTTAAAACTCAACATTTCTTCATGGCAAATAGGTGGGTAAACAATGGAAACAGTGACAGACTTTATTTTCTTGGGCTCCAAAATCACTGCAGATGGTTACTGCAGCCGTGAAATTAGACTACGCTTACTCCTTGGAAGAAAAGCTATGACCAATCTAGACAGCATATTAAAAAGTAGAGATATTACTTTTCCGACAAGGGTCCTTATAGTCAAAGCTATAGTTTTTCAGTAATCATGTATTGATGAGTTGGACCATGAAGAAAGCTGAACACTAAAGAATTGATGCTTTTGAACTGCAGTGTTGGAGAAGACTGTTGAGAGTCCCTTGGACTGCAAGGAGATCAAACCAATCCTAAAGGAAATTAGTCCTGAATATTCATTGGAAGGACTGATGCCAAAGCTGAAGCTCAGTGCTTTTGCCACCTGATGTGAAGAACTGACTCATTGGAAAAAGACCCTGATGGTAGGAAAGACTGAAGGCAGGAGACGAAGAGGGTGACAGAGGATGAGTTGGTTGGATGGCATCATCAACTCAATGGACATGAGTTTGAGCAAGCTCTGGGAGTTGGTGATAAACAGGGAAGCCTGGCGTGCTGCAGTCCTTGGGGTCACAAAGAGTTGGAAGAGTTGGACACAACTGAGCAACTGAACTGAACTGAAGGCTGAAAAAGAAGATAGGAGAATGAGGTTTCTGCAGGGGCTTCAAAAAGCACTGACATATCTCTGGGAGTATGTAAGGTCGTGTGCATGCCTAAGAATGTGGGCATGTTCAGAGAAGACCCAAGAAGGCCCTGAGCTTTCACTTCTGCTGGCAGGAAGTGAGACTCCGTGCAAGCAGGACGTGAAGGCTAGAGCAAAGTTGTCAGCTGCCTGGTTGGGTGCTGAAAATTGTGACTGGAGCCCAGTGAGAACTAAAGCCATATAGGAAGGTCCATCCAGGGGAGCTATATCCTCATATCAGCCAAACCTAGCTGGTTAGGGAATCCAGGATTAGTACAAAAATCTAAGACAGGAGAACCCATAGAAGTAGGTCTAGCTCTTGCCTTGAGATCTTTGATCATCCAAGATGATACAATGGCAAAGCTTCTTTTGGAGAATTGTGGTGACCCAGAGAAAATTAAAGCCCATTGAGAAACAAAACGGTTTATCAGTGGTTGCCAGAGACTTGGTAGGGGGCTAGGGGGATGGTGCTTTGCTGCAAGTGGACACAAGGAACATTTAGAGAGATGAGAAATATTTTATGTGTTGATTGTGATGTTAAATACTTGTACATATTTCAAAACTGATTTAACTGTACACTTAAAATGGATGAATTTTATTCTGTTTGTGTGTACCTATAACTGTATTAACTCGACTTTTTCTTAAAAAGAAGAAAAAACATTTCAGCTTTTCTCTCTTCCTGCCCTTTACCCTGTGGCTGTGCCTCCTACTGTCCTACTTCATCCAGAAACCAGCCATCAGGCAGTTTGGGAGGTAGGGTCTGTAGAGGTCCCCTTCTTGGACCACATGCGTGTGTGCTAAGTCACTTCAGTCGTGTCCAACTCTGTGCAGTTCTTATGCACTGTAACCCACCAGGCTTCTCTGTCCATGGGGTTCTCCAGGCAAAAATACTGTAGTGGGTTGCCATGCCCTCCTCCAGGGGATCTTCTTGACCCAGGGATTGAACCCACATCTCTTATATCTCCTGCATTGGTAGGTGGGTTGTTTACCACTAGTGCCACCACAGAGAAAGGCAAAGACTGGGTTGAGGAGTGGGGAAAAGAGAAAACAGCACAGGGAATCCTGTGTAATTAACAGTAGACTATTCTCTCCTCACCAGAGGATAGCACTTCTGGTGGGAAAACAAGGCATCCAGCCACTGGAGCTGCCCAGACTGGCTCACAACTCACTGCAGGAAGATGCCAAGTGGAGTTTGAGACAGGATTCTTCTGCTTTGTGGGAAAAGACCCTCAAACTCCGGGATTCAGATTCTGAAATTACCTCTATAAGCAATCTATGGGAATACATTTGTAGGATAAATCCCTTAAAATTGTGTTTTTTAAGCTCTTTGGTATGTGTGTGTGTGTGTGTGTGTGTGTGTGTGTGTGTGTGTGTATTTTCTAGTTGGTGACATTTTCAATTACATGATTTTTATAATGTATTTCAAATTCTCTCATTACACTGGGTCTTGTAAGCAGAATTCAGGCCATAACATGGAAAAAGCTAATTTTTCCTAGGCTGCTAACATAGGGGGCTTCCCAGGTGGCACTACTGGTGAAGAACCTGCCTGCCACTGCAGGACACATAAGAGACTCAGATTTGACCCCTGGTTTGGGAAGATCCCCTGGAGGTTGGCAAGTCAACCCGCTCCAGCTGACATAGAGGTGTTGTCTGAAAGCTGCTCATAAAATGAGCACAAGCATACCTCACCTCATTCCAGTGCTCAGTTTTAAAAGGAATTTACATTTCTGTTTTGTGTTCTGTTGACCATACCTAATTCTTTATTTTAACCAAGAAAAAGACTGTCTCTAACGGAAGGAATCCTGAAGCTTTCCTCTTAACTCACGGTGTTCATCTCCCTCTTTCCCCAGGAGGACAACTGTGAGTTTTGTGGCTTACTGCTGCTCCACCCAGTGTCTGCAGACTTTTGACCTACTGAGTTGATAAACACTCAAGAGCCTCAGGAGCGGTGCCAGCTTGACACTGCAGTTGCCCGCATACCACACACTGTGCGGCAGAGGGGTGGAGAGTCCAGCCAGGCCCAGCAGCCCTTGCGTCCTGCCACACTCAGAGACTGAAGGACTCTGGAACGGCACGATCAAGCGTCAGAACTGAAATGCCTTCACCCTTCCCCAAAGTTGGAATATAGCCTCCCCCGACTTAAGAACCCTTGGTCATCTGTGTTTTTCTTTTTATGTGAGTGTGTCTCAATATGCAGATGATTTAGTTTTGATATGCCTCCCCAAATCTAATTTAGAGCAAGTTTCAGCTCTCTGAAGAACTATAATTTGATAATATAACCAAATTAACTTTTGAACATATATACCTTCAATGGTACTTGTAATCTTCTCTTCTCTCTTTCTTCCCCCAGTGATTTATTCCCCAGAGGTTACTCTCCATGTTTTTAACAAATTTCAGCCAACCCTATGACCTCAATAGTATTGAACTGTTGGCAGAGGGGTGGGGGTAAGGGTTGGGGGTGCAGGGGAGGCCAGAGAGGGTGCCTGAGTTGGCTCCAAGCTGGACTCTAGTAGGGGCTTCACAAGGGTCCTAGCACACACCCTTTAGAAAGTTACAACCTTGTTTATAAAGTTTTGCAACCTATTTTGTGAGGGTTTTAAAAATAAAACTAGGCTATAAATGAAATAGACACTTTTGAAAGACTACAAAAAATAATTTTTGAATTTTTTATTCCCTGATAAGATTTTTTTTTTTAATTTGAGAAGAGTTTGAGAAATATTTGAGGCTTTAAAAGAATCTGATTCTTTTCTTTCTGGATTTAAGCATTTTCTGGCTATTGAGAAAGGGAGAGAACACATCAAAATATGACCTCTGGTGTTTCTTGTTAGATGGATTCTTACACTGACTTTGAAATATCTTTGTTACATATGATAAACAAGTCTCAGCTACTTCTACTAGTTTTTAGCAAGGTGATTCTAAGTACAGTCTGTGCACATTTATTTAAATACCTGCGGCATTAGATAATCTTCATTTTGACCCTAGATTTCTTAAGTGCCTGACACACTGTTGTCCAGATAACAGTGAGAAAACACAGGAAACACAGGTCCAAATTCAGCCTCGGACTTTGCAAAAAGGCCATAAATGGAAAGTGTGAGATTGTACTCTGACATAAGATAATGCTTAGTGGAGGACTCACATATTTGCTCTTCCCTTGAAAGGATGGCATTTTAATGTTGCTTTGCTGCCAGATGTTCATCTGGTTGCTGTGAACTGATTCTTTTTTAACGTTTTTAAAAAGTTTAATTGTACATAGTTTTCTCTAAAGGCAGGATTAAAAGGGAACCAAGAAGGTTTACTTGGTAGGAAAATGATTTTCCAAAAATTTTAGATTTGTCAAAAATTTGGTTTATGGAATTTTATTAGCTGCCCTAAATCTGTAATGCTAGGCTCTAACAGTGCTAAAAAATCCTACATAGTTACTGACGAATGTGTGATCTTTTCACAGTCACACCACCTGCTGCCCGGAAAGCAGACTATACACATAGAATGGTGAAGGCAGAACATTATCAACTGTATTTCCACTGTTCTTACTTCCTCTTTTCCCTTTCATAACTTGGCCTCTTCAGCCTTAATCTTTCAAAGGCTTATAGTATAATAGGAACTGAAGATCCATATCAAATGTAACACTTCTTTCATCTTTTGCAATAATTGAAGTTTTAGTGTAACCCCTCCATGTATATAAATTGGGAGGTGAAAATGTGGCATGAAATTTCACAAATGTGGTTCAGGCCTAAGAGGCTGCTACCTATCATTTAAGTGACAGTAATATGTTTCAACATCTTTCTACTTCACCCTCTACAATCATATATCTTAAAATGGAGTTGTGAAATTTGATAACCTAATATTCAGGATTCTATTGAAACAGGATAGGTAATACTTTTAACTTGTTTGAGATTTTACAAAGACAGCTACAATCCAAACAGCCTGTGTACGAATAATGTAAGTTGAACTCCAGCAGTGGGCTAGGCAGACAACATTTGGATGGTCTCAGCCTTAATCCTGAGACCAGAACCCAATTTGATGCAGAATCCAATTTAATTGATGAGTAATGGAACTTATAATTTGACTTCTTTGGTGCTATTCATTCATTGGTGTCATTCTTAACCTTTTAATATTATAAAGGTGTATTGTAGACTGGAGAAGATTTGCCTACATTCTAAATATTTAATTGTGTCCAGAGCTTTGCAGAAAATTCTTAAGTTATTATATATGTGTTTTCCTGAGCAATGGTTATCTTAGGTAGAGAAATACTTCATGCAATTATAATGATGCCCCAAAAGTTAATTGTCTGGAAAATATAGCCTGTTCAGGTAAGTTTACATCAATAATCTGATATGTGGATATTGGTAAATTTTAAAATCCAGGATACTCTTTTGGGCATAGACCTTCTTAAGATACAGTTCATAGAGGATCCATTTAAACTGGATTACTGTATCAATGTTCTTCGAAATGCCAAGTTGTTATTATACAAAAATCCTCAATTACATAACATTGCATAGATGAATGAAATGTTGCATCTTTGATGAATAAAATGCATATTTTGAGCAGACTTTAATAGTTTTAAAACTGACCAATACACAGAAGAGTCCTGGCTAGTGGAGGATACGTTCTGGTTAATAGAAGGATGAACTCCTTTGTTATCTGACCCTCCTTTTCTGGAAAAGCATGGTTTACATTAAACATCTTTTGGTCAACGTACTCAACACTCACTAAAACCTTTCACACTCTGGCTTGTCTTCCTAGTTTAATGTACATCTCTCTTTTCTTCCACATTTAATTCCACAAATTAAAATGTTCACAATTTAAGAAAAATACTTCAATACCAGTTGGCTTACAAGGCTTTACACATAGTTTTCTGTAAAATACATACCTATTTTGTAATCTTTCAAAACCACTTTTAGAAATTATTAATAGTAAAATTAGGTTTCTGTTTCCTGAGTTGAAAAATCAGACATGTTCATCTTTATTGTAAAAGGCTTAAACATGATACATTGCTTCAGGAGAAATCAAAACATTTTTATTCAGATGATTTATGATCATGGATTCCTAACTGAGCCAACACTAATGCAACCTGATGTAATTCAATATTGAGATGTAAATTCATTTCATAGACTCAAAATCTTATTTAAAAATCAGGAGTCTTATTTTAAAATGTATCCTTACATAACCCTGGACAATTTATTATGCTCTTATTATTTTCGTGGTTTTCATCAGCTCTTGCTTACACTCCTGATGAGGCTCTTCTACGTTTATCCAGGAAAGTTAAGTGATATCTTGCCTTCTGTTAAACTGAGGGAATTTTTATGAAGTCTGTATTCTTGAAAATAACTACATGGCTATCTAAAACTCATTCAAGTCTCACTATCCCTACCCAGGAAGTACCTCCCTGTGCTAGTAGCTGATAGATCTGGAAGTGATGCAAGTGTCTCTAGGAAAGGGATTGATCATAGCTGAATGCCTGTTATCCTTGGTCAGGAAAAGAGACTGCTTCACAGTCTAGGATATTCTCTTTGATGCATGGCTGTATGGTACACAGAGACCGAAAGGTACTGAAGCCCAGGGTGCCAGCTGGACAGAAGGTGGAGTGTTTGGAAGTCATTTCTATATGTAATTAAGAGACTTGCAAGGATTGGCCAGGTTTCCCCCAGCCCCCCTGCCTCCAGTTCACCTTAGAGCAGAGTGTGGATTATCCTTGCTACCTGTCAGGTTTTGCTTCTCATAGCAATTTTGAGACTATAGTATACCAAGATTCCTTCCTTCCTTCCTTCCCTCCTTTGTTTTTATATTGTGAAAAAATTTCCTAATACTCTGAGTCTGTCTGCTGAAACATTTTGACACTACTCATTTGTAGTGTGGATATTTTCTACGATTCATATTATATCCACTTTGGTCATTCTCACAGATACTGCTGTTTATAGAATGGTTGAGCTTGAACCATGTCAATGCATAGAAATGTCAATGGTGATGACTTTATTGTTTTAACCAGATTCACTTTGTTAAGGAAAATAAAGACATTAAATACTTAAAGCCAGCCAAAATGGTGGCATAAGGACCTCTGGAAATTCTCTCCTCCATAAAGACAAGGAAAAAATTTGCAAAAAAAATCAGAGTCAACTTTTTTCAGATCTCTGGAAATTAATCTTGCAGCATCCCAAGAAGTATTTATGCAAGAGAAATAGCTGAATCTCAGCAAGAACTGTAAGTTTTATGGTATTTTAACTAGTTTTATTTCCATTCCCCCTGCCCATTTCTAGTACTGCTTATCCCTGAAGACCAACAGTTCACAATCATGGTAGAAGCAGCAGCATAGAAGCCACTGGAAGAATGGGGTTGGAGCTCCTTCAATGCTTCATTCCCAGGGAATTGTTTGGTGGTTTCCCAGAGTACCTCACTTGCAAAACTGTCTTTATTTTCTCTGATCAGAGTTTGCCACCAGTGCTTTTCCAAGTATTTAATGAGAAAAAAATCAGAGGCATTTGTGGCTGCCTGAAGTAATAGCCATTGGAGCAAACAACAGGCTAACCATAAACTAAAAAGGAAAAGTTGAGTAATGAGAGGCTTCAAAAAGCTCTGCCATTCCTGGGAATTTAGATGACCTTGTACATGCATAGACAGGGACTTTGCACAAGCCAAGGATTGTTACTCCTGCTCAGGAAAGACCTGGAGACATCTTAACTCTCACCTTAGGTTGATCTTGGTGAACTGCTCAAGCAGAAAGTGAAGATGAAGGCAGAGTTGTCAACCTCCTGGCTGGGTGTTGGGTGTTGGAGGATGTCCCAACACTCATACAAAGCTGTCAGCAAAGACTGGGAGAGTTACTGGCTTCAGGTGCTTATGTAAGTACTGTCTAATCATTGGGTGACTAAGAAACTACCTGAGAAAGACTTCAGAGTCTATCTTTTATGAAGAATATGGACTTCAAAGAATTAGTTCAGATGAGTTGCTGGACAACCAAAACCAGCAACTTCATCAAACTCTTAGCAAAGAGGTAAGTAAATCTAATTTCTAAAGTTATCCTATTAGTTTTCCTCAAAAAAAATTATGAGACATGCAAGAAATAAGTGTGCCCCATAAAAAGTGGAAAAATTCAATAAACTGTCTTGAGGAAATCCAAACGTTGGAATATGTAAAGACTTTAAATTGACTATTTTAATATATTCATATAACTAAAGTATGAAAATGATGTATCACCAAGTAGAAAACATCAATAAAAAGATAGAAATTATTTTTTTTTTTAAATACAGAAATTGTAGAGTTTAAATAAAAATAGCTGAAATGAAAAATTCCCCAGAGGGGCTCAACATCAGATTTGAGTAGGCAGAAGAAAGAATCAGCAAACTTGAATATAGGTCAATTGAGGTTATCCAGATTGAGGAACAGAAAGAAAATAGAAGGGAGAAAAATTAATAGAGCCTTGAAAACCCATCAGATACTATCAAATGTACCAATATATACATAACAGGAGTCATGTAAGGGGAGAAGAGAAAAAGAATATTTGAAAAAAATAATGACCAAAGACTTCAAAATTTGATGAAAAATATTAACATACCAAGAAGCTCAATGAACCTGAAGTAGGATAAATTCAAATTCATTCCTGGACATATAATCATACTGTCAAAAGATAAAGACAAGGAGAAAATAGACTCATACACAAGAAATTCTTATCAGAAAATGTGGAGACCAAAATGGAGAAGGATGACTTCTTAGAAGTGCAAAAGGAAATGATATGTCAAGCAAGAATTTTGTATCCAGCAAAACAATCCTTCAAAAGTGAAGATGAAATTAAAACATTCTCAGATAAAACAAAATTCAGCATTAGCAAGCCTGTCCTACAAGAAATAATAAACAGAGTCCTTCAGGCTATAATAAAAGGACAGTAGACAGTAACTCAAATTGCACATGAAGAAATGGCACAGATAAAGGTAGCTACATGGGTAAATATAGAAGAGCATAAATGCATTTTTTGTTCACAACTTTTTTTTTAGTCCCAGTTTAAGAGGCAACTCCATTAAAAAGTTAAAAATCTTTGTTGATGGTCACAAAGTAAAACAAAATATGTTTGACAATAACAGTACAAAGAAAGAGAGGGAACAAGCCTGTATGGGAACAAACTTTTTGTATAATACTGATATTGAGCTGGTATTAATCAAAACTAGACTGCTATATATTAAGATATTATAATCCTCAGGGAAACCACTAAGAAATATATGGTAAAATAATAACAAGAATATAGAGTAAAAGATACAAAAAGGAAATAAAAATGGCACACTATAAATACACAACAGAAGGCATGGAAGTATGGAGGAATAGAAGAAAAGACACAAGACATAGAAAACAAACGGCAAGATGGCAGACTAAATCCTACCTTATCAGTAATCATATTAAAGGTAAATGAATTAACACTCCTATTAAAAGGTAGAAATGGCAGAATGGGTAAAAATCATGATCCAACTATATGCTGCCTACAAATCAGTAACAGATAGATTGAAAGTAAAACCAAGAAAAAAAAAATGGAAAAAGATATACCACACACACTTAACAAAGAGAGCCAGTGTGGCTGTATTAATCTCAGACAAAAGAGACGTTAAGGCATAAGTTGTTACTAGAGACAAAGACATTACAAAACATTACATAATGACAAAAGGATCAGTCCATCAAGAAGACATAATTATGCACATATATGTACCTGACAACAGAGCGCCAAATACATGAAGGAAAAACTGATATAGTTGAAGTGAGAAATAGCCAATTCAATAATGGCAGTTGGAGACTTTACTGCTTCACCTGCAATTTTGGATAGAACAACTAAAGAGAAATCAACAAAGAAATAGAGGACTTGAACAACACCTTAAGCCAAGTAGCCCTCACAGACATACATAGAACAGCAAAAGCACATTCTTTTAAAGTGCACATGGAGCATTCCTTGGGGTAAAAAAGTCAATATTTTTAATAGGATTGAATCACAAAATATGTTCTCTGAGCACAAGAGAATGAAATTAGAAACAACTAACAGAAGGAAACTTGGCAATTTTATAAATATATGGAAATGTAACATTGCATTCCTAATTAATCAATGGATAAAAGAAGAAATCACAACCATAGATTAATGGTTGCCTGGATAGGGGGAGGGGGAAATGGGTCATGACTGCTAATGGGTGTGGCGTTTCTTTATGGGGTGATGAAAACGGTTTGGAGTTAGATAGTCATGATGGCTGCACAACCTTGTGAATATACTAACAGCGCACACACTAAAGGGATGGTTTGTGGTATGTGAATTATATCTCAACTCAAAAAAACAGTGATACCTGTTAACAAGCTATTTTTCAATAGACCAATAATCCTTCCAGAATCCAAGAATGGAACTGCAGTCACTGTGGCTGTGAAGTGAATGGAAACTCAGTATTAACACTCATATGGTTTTAGAGTCTGTGCTTACTGGTTAACACCAGCATCAGGCCAAATCCACAGTAATTTAAAAATCCCAGGTGGTGAATGTTCCAACTCACTGAATCCACTGAACAAACAGTGACCATTCCAGTGAGGCCCCTCAAGGAACAGAGACCACTGAAAGTAAAACACCATGATGTTTGAAAATATAATCAAGTGGAAAATTCTGTAAAGTACTTGTAAATCATATTGCTTTTTTCCTAGTTTACAACAGTGATTGGTACCATTCTTTATCTAGAACAAAAATTTATAGGGAGGTATTATTTACTAAAGGTCGTTTTGTATCTTTTCATCATAATTACAGCTATGTGTTTATCATGATTTAAAAAAAAAATACTTCTATCCAAGGCTGTTAATAATTCTCTGAAACTGATAAAGGTCACTGTTTAATTTATTGACCAAACAATTACACCCACTTTGAGGATATGCAGTCTAATTTAGTAGACCAAAACAATGTTTAGATTCTAAATTAAAAGACAGAGATTTTATAATTGTGCATAAGAAACAGTAGTTATATCTTGCCCTCTTCAGGTTTATGTTCTTTAATTTTAGGTGATTGGTCTGGTAAAAAATTTTAAAAATATAAAATCCAGTTGCAGTATTATTAGTATGATCTTACTATTTGAAACAATCCAGTAAATTGTGTTGTGAGCTATGATTAAGGAGTCCTGTACATTGATTATATAATACAATCATGCATAAAAGCACTTGGTAGACAACCCTAAAAGGAAAATCTGCTCTTTTTTATTTAATCCCTATCTTCCTGTAAGAATTCTTTATCCATGTAATTTTTCACATCTTGTAGTTCATATTAAAGTAGGCTTTTTTCTAATTACAAAAGTAATACTGCAGCCTAGAGAAAGGGATGAAGAAAAAGCTTACTATCCCAATAACTCCTTCATCTTTTGGTAAATATTTGTCTTTTCAGTCTTTTCTATGAATGCTACACATACACTTGTGGATTTACTTAAATGACATCTTAGCATACAAACTATTTTATAACTTGCTTTCTTCAACTAACATTTTGTGAAAATCATAGCAATAAAAATACATACATACATACTGGCTATGTAGTATTACATTTTTTACCAATATTATGTAATAGAGTACATATTTAATACATTTTTAAACAAAAAATGTTGCTTTTATTGTACTTGAAAGCATCAATTTCTCTTAGTTTCTTTATGTAGTACCACTTTATTTGGGAAGGCAGATGGGAGATTAAATTTTATAAGCAAGTATCAGATTGCTAATACTTTTATAGATATATATCATCAGTTTAGCTCTTTTCAACTAGAGCAATCTTGGAAAACTTTAACTCTTTATTTAATGTCAAAGTCACTGACTAGAGCCCTGAACTAGGACTTCATTCAAAATGTACTTTTATTAGTGCAATTGTCTAGTATGCCACAATCACTACAGTTTTCAGTAAAGAGATTTTCTCCCACCCCAGACATTTCCATTTGGCATATTTTTCCTAAAACAACAACAAAAAATGAGCTGGGATCTGATCAATTAACCTTCTGTTTAATATTAATTTCAAAACATTGGCTTACATCAGATTCTCAGTGAAAATACTTAAAGTTAGCACAATAATCTGGGATCCCTGCAAAAACAAGATATAGGATACAGCTTTTTAGTTAAAACAAGCAGCTCACAGAAAGAAATACGTTAACGCCAACAAGAAAATGACATTGAAAAAGACAGGAGTAGTCACAGAGGGGTGGGGAGGAATAAACTACACCTTTGGGGAGAGTTTTCGTGGCTCACAGACAAGTGGCTGAGGAACTCTGTAGACTGAAGAAGCGTGAAGAGTGAAGAGATGAAGGTCAGGGAGAAAAGAAAGGTGGGGGAGATGAAAAGTACCACTACAGAAAGAAGGCATTACTCAAAAAGTGAGCGTCATGTTTCCAGTACCTGTGTCCTTTGCCATCCTCTTTTGCTTTAACAATATGCACCTTGCTTAGGGAAGCGGAACCAAATTTAAGGAAAGGAATTGAATTTGATACTGCCGGTGTTCTCTGCCTCTAGCAAACCAGCCCTCCCAAGCCCCGTTTTTTTGCTGCCAGTCGTTCACGTCGCAGCAGCTGAGATGCTCATCGGCCAAGGGGCAGGAGACTGCACTGTGTCTTGAAGGCTAAGGTGGTCATGGTGCCTCTGAAGAACGTAGGAAACCTAGACCGAGAGGAAGCATCTCTCTACTGAACGAGACTGAGCCAGGCGAGGAGAGGAAGGTGAAGGGAAGGCCTGCAGTTCTGCAGGTCATTAAAGAAGAAATGATGCCTGATCCATCATGAAATGTCCCAGGATTTGCAGTGTTTGACAGGAAAAGAGATATGCGGAAATACTGAAATTCATTCTAAAGGTAAACATGGAAACGTGAGATTAAAGAGCAGAATCATCTGATATCACAAATAGCAAGAAGGAAGCAAGAAATGACTTGATTTTTGCCTGTGCCTGTGGCCAGCTCAAGGAGTTGTCTTCACACGCCATCTTCCTTTGGGACAGTCCTACCCGGCCCCATATCTTTGCATGGATCTCACAAATCATGATGTGCCTGAATTGGCAGCTCACCTCAGAAGATGTGGAAAATTCCTTAAATAGAATTCATCACGTCCTGCCCCACCTCATCTTCAGGTTTCTCACAGGTTCCTTCTGAGCCTCTGTGCCAAACTCACAGATAATTTGTGCAAACGTGGATCATTCCTACTTTAGATCGGTTTACTCTCTATTAGATGATTCCCATTATTTGTAGGTAAATTTTTAATGATCTTAATTGTAG